CAATTTCTCATGCAATAAGAAAGTCAGGACCCGAAACAAGAAGATTGAAAGAAGTTTTATATAACAAAAGTTATTGAGGAAGAGGAATCAGATGATTATGCAGAAGATTATCCACCAATCATACAAGAAATAGACGAATTCGATGATATGGTGGCATCTGGACAAGGTATAACGTATTTATCCGACGACAATAAAGAATTGCTTAATAGATTAGAAATAATATTAGCGGCCATGAAGGAAGGTCATCGATGGGACAACTAAAAATATCGACGGATAACGGAGTTACGTTCGAAACCATAAGCTTACTACCGGGGAGCTACGAATACGTAGCCATCAACGAATACCTATCCGAATACGCAGGAAGCGTGAACGGCAAAAACAATATCGAATTCGAAGGTAATTTGAATCTGAACAAAATAAAACTGATCTTGAGAAATAACAGTCAAGTCGATTTCAACGTAGAAAATTCGTTGAATGCGTTACTAGGGTTCGATAAACAAATATACGCGCAATCGACATTGGCGTCGCACAAGGCCAACATCGAGAACGATATCAACGTGATCAACATTCACTGTAATTTGATCAACGGTGGATTTTTCAACAAGCACAAACGCCAAATCAAATACAGCATACCGACTTTTACGGTGCCGATCGGATACAGAATTATAGAGAAACCGTTTCAAACGACCTATTTACCAGTCAATTCTTTCATGATCAAAGATATAAATCTGGAAATCAAAGACGGTAAAAACAGGTTCATTGACTTTGGCAACGAAGAAATTGTCATTCAACTTCATCTAAAACAATCTTCATTCTCTTCTTGATTAGAAAGATAATCTTTACCTTCTTTATTCGTGAAAGTGATTTTATCTTTAGCTGGTATCGGTTGGAAGAACATGTTTTTGGGATAGTCAAACCACACTGTTAAAATAGCTGTTCTAGGTCTGAATTTTTGTTTATTGAAGAGTTTTACATATTCTTTTTCTTCTTCTGGTAGAAACGGTCTTCCACTTTCCGCTCTCGGATATTCACTGTCTAAATCCGACATGGCGGAAGCGTATAAACCGTTAGCATCAAATGCCATTAGTTTAGTACATTCTATTTTTTTAAGTCTCGAATGAACCTCCGTTTTGTCTTTTGTGCTTGCACACTGTATTCTTTGAATAAATCAATTATGTTATTACTTTCACTTTGTGAAATATATTCCTTTAATACGTTACAAATTTCATCCATTTTGTTCGTTTCAAATGATTTTCTATTTGCCGAAACTCTTCCTCCTTTAATAGATCGTCTGATAAAATTTCTTATAAAAGGATTAGTGTGCGAATAAACTTTTTCTACGTTTTCTTTTTCGGTATGTTTCGCAACCATTCTAGTAGTTTCATACCATTCTTCTTCCACCATTTCTTTATCGTAATGATATAAATAATACCAACCCTTTAAAGATAAAGATGGAGCCGTTAGATTATTGGACATATTCTGGTTTACAACTTCTTTCGTGACTTGGTTGTATTTTATCACACAAGCTCCCAAACAGAGAGTGTCTCTCTTGGCGTTAGGTTCCCATTCGTGTCTCAATTCCTCCCAGTTGTCTTGCGCGTATTTAGCGATATCTACGTCGGCAATCTTTCTCAAATTCGAGGGGAGATTGGAAGAATTTCCCCATACAGCCAAACTAGAGGATTCGTGTTGATAGGAACACGTGAAATTAATATGTTGTAAATAATTACCCTTTATTTCTTTCTGTCTTTTCCATTTTTTCTGTAAATCTTCATCCGTGTATGGATTAGATAAAGGAAAAGATAGAATTCCTCTGGGTGTTTTTAAAGGGCAATGTGTTAGTTTTTTTGCATTTTTAAGCACGATCCAGTTGTCGAATCCACTGCCGTTATGAGAAATTAATATTAATCTCTTTCTATCATATTGACCTAAATATTTCAACATTTGATCGATGCAATCTGTACCTACAAATATTTCTACTACATTCATTAGTTTATCATAAAATTCTTCTGGAAGGGGATCTGACGGCTTTAAATCTGGAAAGAGATTATTTATTTTGTTTAACATTTTCCTTAGTTTTTCTAAATTAATTAAAGTGCAGGCATAAGGAATTGCTCTTCGCGTGTCTTTTTCTGAAT